TGCATGTGGCCAGTCTTCAGTCGCTAAACCTCATTTGCACTGCACCTGGTGCGCTTAAGCGCTCAGGCGCTCGCTTTTGACTACCTTGATTAGAGTCAATTAAGCTCCAACGAGCAATTAGATCCTGATAAGCCTCAATAACAGACACACATACAGAGGGCCAGTACAAAGTTTTTTTTTGAAAACTTTAACACAAAATATTTTATACTAATATTTGAGACATTTTTTAAATTTGGGCTGGGTCGTTGCCTAGATTGGCTTCCTGACAATGCTCATGCACAGAGACCAGGGGTGTCTAAAGCATTTTGGAGGCTCTAAATAGAAAAATACTTATTATGCAGGAATCATATTTTTAATATTAAAAAGGATAAATTTAAAAACATACTCAAAGGCCCCAGATAAAAAAACACCATATAGAAAAAAAAAACATAATCAAATTGCACGATATAATGTTTTTAATATTCAAAAGGATAGGTTTTAAAATACAAACATGAAACATGTGTATACTACACTACAAATGACAAACTTGTACTTGTAACGCCTTATTGGCCCATTCTTCTTACCATTTGAAATGTAAAATCAGTAATAATATCACTTTATAGATAATACAAAAATCACAAACAAATCAATTAACAAAAAACCGAAACTTCTAAATACAAAGACAATTCAAACAAAAAAAAGCTACTTTACTAGTACCAATACCATCAAATTAATTATTTCATGTATTTTATCATTTAAATTAATTATTCACTTGTATTTAACATTTTACAATTTAGGAATTTAACTTGAATAGTAAAAAAAATTGCCCTTTACTGCTTGAGTGCTTCTGTGCTTGTCCGCCGTCTACTGTAGGCTTTAGGCCTTCTGGCTTTTATCTTTAGACTTATGTATTTCCCTATTTAATTTAGTATCTAAATTCTAAAGAGAGATAGAACATCATTCAAATGAAAGAGACAGTAATACTCGGTAAGATATTAAGAGAAGGACGAAGGAGAGAAGTACTGAAGTAGAGATGTCAGAGATTCACTCACAGTTCACCCAGGTCGGCGTCGGGCGGCGACTCCGACGATGCGTTCGGACGGGGCGTGGTGGCTCGCGGTCGCTGCTTGTGAAGCCGGTTGCCGGTTGCTGCTTCTCTGTTAGTCCGTACTCCAGAAAATTACTTCTTTTATCTTTTTTCTTTGAGGCCCCCTTGCCTAGACCAGAAGATTATTTTGCAATTTGGATGTGAGCTACAAAATGGAACCGGAAGCGTATACCATACAGTCGGCTGTACGGCTGGCACCGTACAGCCGGTGCCATTTTTGTAAATTTGATGAAATTCGTGATTTCTCTTAAATGAGCATCAATGTAATTTTGACGAGCATTAAGTTGGTTCTTCTGAGTATTAGAAGCCTAATAACGAGCACAGTGATCTCTGCTTCATATATTCTAATTCAATTTCTTTTTATTAATTTTTCGTTTATAAAAAATTCTTAAATTATGTTTATAATTAATTTCAATATGTGAATCTAATGTAGTATAGTATGTTTAACACATGCAACTTTGTAAAATGAACATAAAACAATACAAAATGAGCATACATAACTTACCACCTGAGTATCAAAATATTAAAAAGTTTATTTGTGTGTGCTCATTCGTTTTGGGTGTTATAATCATTTGAGTTTAACATAAAACTCTTTTTGAAATATGCATGAATGTAACATTTTAAAATGAGCATGAAACAGTAAAAAATGAGCATACATAATTACAAAATGAGTATCAAAATATTTAAAAAAACTCATTTGTGTGTGTTCATTATTTTTGGACGTTATACTCATTTGAGTTTAACATAAAACTCATTTCGAAACATACATGAATATGACATTTTAAAATGAGTATTACACTAATATCAAATGAGTATACATAAATGATGAAATGAGCATTCATAAAACTCATTTAAAATGTCTAATGTGCTCATAATTTCATTTGTTATGCTCACATCTGAAGAATTACATATAACTTAGATTTATCCGACATGCTATCAACAAGTGACCAAACTCACTCATCAAACTTGGGAAAGAAAAAGAGAAAAAAGAAGTGTCCAGAGCAGGAAAGAGGGAGAAGAAGCGATTAGAGCTATACACCAAGAGGAGCCGCCACAAGAGCCGCCGCTCAAGCCGGTGTTGCGCTCGTGCTGAAGGTTGAGTCTGTCGAGAATCATCATCTGTGTAGGTGAGAGCGAAGAACGAGAACGATCTGCAGAGGAAGTCCAGCGCCCTGCGATCTACGAAGCCTGCCCTGCAATTTCCGATCTAAAAGTCCGGCTGTACCGTGCGCACGGTACAGCCGGCTGTACCATGTAATTTACGTACAAAATGTATTTTTAATCTTTATAAATATGACACATTTTTAATATTTTTAAATATGACACACTTTATTTTAGTTTCCAATTTTTTGTTTTTATTTTTCATCCTTATAGTATTCACTATTTTTTAATCCATCTTTAATTCTGAACCCGTTCTACTTAGAAAAAAAGTTATTGCAAATTGCATAAATCTATTAGAAATATTTAAAATTGTCCTTTTATAATTATTTCAAAACTAAATGTTTTTATTATATATATATATATATATATATATTAAGAACCTTCTGAAAATACAATTTCTGTCAAAAAAATACAATTAAATACTCTTGAAATAACATGACAAAGAATCAGAGAAAATTTATTAGTCAATGTTATTTTGAAGTCAAGTGGAGGCTGTTATCATCAGTGATAGACTAAAAAGAAAATCAACATAAATTACAAGGATGAAAAACAAAAATATAATTTTACAAGAATGTAAAACAAAATTTACTATATTCATAGGGATTAAAAACATATTTAAATATTTTTATAAATGTATTATAGACTCCTTCCGTCCTTAAAATTTGCCCAAGTTTGAGCAGCACAATAATTAATTAATAAAGTAAAACTTGTTTGATTGAGATTTATGCACTGAAAAGAGAATTAAATTGAACAACAAACTCTTAATTAAAAAAAGTGACAAAAATAATGAGACAACCAAAAATGAAAATAAATAAATTTAATATGGAGTAGTTAAAAGAAATACATTTATATTTTCACTTTTTATAAATAAGTTATACATATAATATATGCATAAATTATATATTTCATTTGTTCATTTTTAATTGCAATAGTCAACATTTCACGTTTGCCAACGCACAAGTTTGACCATTAATATCTTTCATTTCTTATTAGTAAAAAATTAACAAAATTCATATTTTGAAAATTTAAAATGAGAAGAATTTAACAATATTTTTTAAAATTTAATTTATAATGCATTAAGAAACAAAATATAGTCAAAGTATAATACGTGAATAGTGCAAAAAGTCTAATGTTGCAATTCAAAGAGAACGGAGGTAGTACATATTAAGGACGATGGGTTAAGTGTTAAAGGTGTGTAAAATATAAAATGTGAATAAGATGCACTCAACAACCTCCTTGTATTAGAGTAATAACGGTGAATACACAGAATAGGCCGAACAACGCTTCGGAATAGTAGCTAATACAAGACTAAGAGAGATAATTTAAGGCTCTGAGTATCAAAATGCTAACTCTTTACAATGTAGTTAATGCGCATATTTATACTATAAGGGGGTAAGTGGGGAGATGATGTGGCCGAATCCGATTGACTGCTGCCTTTGCCACTTGAGCACTCATGCTTCCACTTGCTACCGTCATACTCTAGCATTTAATGCAGTTTGTCACTTGCGCACTCCCCGGTCGGTCTCTAGACTGCACAGGCTGATGGACAGAGATGAAGTTTGTATTTGTTCCAAGTAGGATAATTGGGCCGTTCGGGCTCTCATAAGTCTGGACCAAGTTCCTCTCTGGGCTTGTTCTCTCCCTTAGGCCCTTACCTATTCCGTGCGGGATATTGGGCCGAAGCCCAATATCCCAACAGTAATAATTAGGCTTAATTTTGTATAATATTTAGGACATTTTCCCCTTTCTTCATACTCCGTGTGTCACTATGGAGTAGTAATTATCACGGTTTTGAGAATATTCTTATTATTATTAAGGCTCCAAATACTTGAAGTTTGACTTGATGCCTTGCCACGTCTCACACATTTTACAACACGGCATATATACAAATTTTCTTTTACTTTTACGTTTTTGTCTGTATTAAAGTAAAAATGTGTACTCCATACCAATACCATTTTATTAACTATATTAATTGTAGTTATATATTTTTCATTAGTTATAGCAAGTATTATTGTTTCTATCACACTATCTTTGTCTCTTTTTCCTTTTTCCTTCATCCTAGTGACCCGAGATTAAGTTTGTCACATCTTGTATTGAATAATATTATGATTCTACAATCATTCTTCTTGTTTTATCAATTTAATACCAATTAAATAACTCTAATTTTCTTAATAATTAAATCATATGGTTTTTTGGAATTCATAAACTAGAAAGTTCTAAACAAGATTTTTTTTGAGGAATAAAGTATTACGTATAATTTTATTTCAAAAATATTATTAAAATAAAACGTATTTACATAAATATGACTAATAGTTGTTACTATGTACGGAGTATAATATACTATCATGATAACTTAAGTTTAAAATTTAACATATACAAAGTACTACGTATTATTAAAACTTAAGTTTAAAATTTAACATATACAAAGTACTACGTATTATTAAAACTTCATTGCTACTCTAATCATTAGTCACGTTTTTGTAAATAATCTTTATTTTAGTTACTACCTCCGTCCCTAATTGTTGTTCCAAAATAAAGTGGCACACAGATTAAGAAAGTGGGAATTGTGTGGTGGAGAGTTGTGCAGAGGAGAGAGAAATGTTGTGAACCACAAATTCTTTGCCAAAAAGGGAAAGTGAACTTCTTTTTGGGACATCCCAAAAAGGAAATTTGGAACAACAATCCGGGACAGAGGGAGTATAATTTATAAAAATGTAATTATTTGTAATATCTTTACAAAAATATATGGTGATAATACAATCAACATTGGCTCACCATAGCCAATCAACACTCCAATTGAAACACCTTCTCACCCCCTATCCTTTCCCTATCTGCTCATATTATTATCATCCACACACTCCAAATTGGCAATTTCTCCTCCATCATCTCCACTTTCCATCAGGTAAACCATTACACAACCAAAGACCTTTACAAGTTTATGCGAAATCTCAATTTCTCAACTTCCATTTCACCTTCTGCTTTGATAGTTTTAGGTGAGCGATCAATGGCTTCGACATCGCTATCTCCGGCGATAGCAGTTACCGGAACCAGCTTCAGGCCTTCCCGGAGAACTGCCAAAGTGAATCACATTACCGGATTGAACTCATTTGTAGGGCTCAAGGCGCAGAACCAGGTGACCAGGCTTGGCCTCCCCGTCAGCGCAGAGGAGTCTTTCGCGAAGATTGTTGGAGCTTTGAGAGAGCCGTCGCGGAGCGGAGGGAGATGCGGTGGAGCTCTGTCTTCTACCTGCAGCGCCACCGCTGAGATTTTCAAGATCGGGGCCATAATCCCGGGACTTGTTCTGATCGGGGTTGCCGTCGGCTTCGCCCTCCTCCGCGTCGAGGCTTTCATAGAGGAATCTGAGTGATGAGATGGTTCGATCATTGTATGCTTCTAATTAATCAAAGATTACCGCCTTCTACTCCATCAATTATATATATTCGAATGCTTAATTTTGCATCTGTCATTTAGCTTAACTACTGCTCGTACTTGTGTATTTTCGGTTCTCCCAATTCCAGTCAGTCTGTTGTTGAGTTGTTGCTTTGGTGATAGCAAGAGCTGGACTCTGGAATGGCTCTCAATCCGAAGTCCTTGAAATGTTTTGCTGTCATTATGGTAATTTTTGTACACTTTGTATACACTTGTTTCTTTAGATACATAATAACTTGTGTGAATACAACAAGTGTACAAAACCACTTTTTTCTTTTGATATATGCCTCTTTTGCTTGTGTGGTCCAACCTTTTTTACTTTAAAAATGTAAAAAAATGGCTTAAATCACAATAAAATGGCTTAATTTTTAGTTTTAATATAGTTGGTTTGAATTTAATTTAGAAAATAAATAGATCATACAAGGCACATAACCAGGTTAAAATTATGAAGACCTCTTTATACATTACATAAGTGTAGAAATGTTCATTCAAAAAAAAAGTGTAGAAATGTTAGGCTATAGAAAAGGGTAGAAAGCGTGCAAGCTTTGATAGCAGCTTTGAATATTGTTAGGAATTAATTTACGCAACCCGAAGAACAATTAAAGAACACACGAAATTTGGTAACTCGGTTCGCTACCAAACCAGGAATGTTATTAATTTTTGGATTTCATATTTACAAGGGAGAGAGCTTGTATTTATAGAGAAGTAAAATGTAACCCCAAGGCAACTAGGACGTGTTTCCAAAAAAGATAACTGTGTTTTATATGTATATTCCGGCGCAGTGAACTTCCAAAAATCATTTGACTACCTTCCCGATTGAATTTTTTGCTCAAATTTGGTATGGATGAACTAGACTTAATGAAGAACATAAACAAAAAAAATTCGGTAAAAAATATCACCGGGAACCACTTCAAATTGAAGTGGCCGGACCATCATCCTATCCGGCCAGGCCGGACAGGAATACTACTCACTATTAAATAAGACTAAAATATTACTTTTTCGGGTTTAAAGTTTGTGAATATAACAAGACATAATTCATAGAATGAAAACATTTTTCTTTAAATACTTATTTTAAAATAAAAAAATTCCTAAATAGATTCATCAAGGTCTATATTAGCAAAGTTATTCAAAATGATTACACTAAGTGTTGTTGGGTTATTAGCCCCAAGCTCAAATACCTCAAGAGGCCCAACTTGCATATCGACCCAATTGCAGCTCAGACTTATCGGGATGCTCGCACGACGTATATGAACGGAATGCACCACTCAGGCCGATCCGTTCACTTTGGCTTCTTCATTGGGTCCATCAACTTTCCTTAGAGGAACTCCTCCAAGTATTTGGTGGGAAGTTGAAATCGGTGGGAAACACATTTCATGCACCAAATATAGAATATTTTATGGTTGGCGGCTACCCACTCAGGGTTGAATAGACCAACCCCCGCCTACTATCTTGTAGTATAAATAACAACATTTATTTCATTTTAAAGGGTTGACAAACTTGTATATTTAGCAGTAAAGTTTTGTCTATTTATCCTGTAATATTTAGCTTGATCTAGGGCTCGGGACTCAGGCTCAGCACAAGTGTTATAATCGTTTTAAGTGTCTAATAGAGCTGAGTCCAATTTGTCTCTAATTTCCTTGTTAAGTATTTTCTTATTTTCTGCCTCACTCTTGCCTTTAACACTTACAAACTCATCCACTAAAAAGAATCTTATGAAAGCCCAAGAGATTGTATTGAGTCTTTGGACCGCGAAGACTTAACATAAAAGTGCAAATTAGGACATTCACATATAATTTGATTTTAATTTATTAATTTCTAAATATAGTCATGTTTGGTACCTGAATTTAATAAATAAAGAAGGATAATAAAAAGAGTGTAAGAATGTGAATTGGGGAATTGCCTTAAGAACTAAAAAGTTTGTGTATTTCAAAATAGGAGTGCCATGTTTTTATTCGCTAAATAAAACTAATTAATGTCATGTTTTGGCAGTACCAGACTTTAAACATGACAGTATTTCTAAACTTTACAGTATTTACTCATATTTAGAGAATAAAAACACGGCAATCACATTTTGGAATTTTTAACATTTTTACTCTTATTTCGCGAATCTTTCCATATGAATTGTATGAATATGAGAGAGGAAGATATTACAACTCATCAATGTGTGCCAATTGTTTAATGAATATCGCAGTGTATTATACTGATCATTTTTCATTTATATGAAAATTAAATTTTTTTATAGAAGAGGTTTTGTGCAGGAATAACTATAACGCAACCGGTGTGACGCATTTATTAAATCACATGAGACTAGTGAATCAAATTTATAATTTACGAGGGGTTTTGGTGCATTTTACCCTTAATTTCTACTTCAAATATTAGTTTATTCTTGTATTCATACTCCAATGTGTTCAAATAGCATCAATAGTACTAATTCGGAATAAAAACAAGTTAAAAAATATGTCCACATATACAATTTCAATAACTAAAATTATCAAAAATGTAAACATAAAAAGTGCACAAAATATAACTACATCGCTTGCCGTTCAATTTTTCGATAAATAGCGGAGTGATGGGCAATGTATTCAAATTTCGACATCAACCAAAAAGAAAAAATATGCTCATTCCAATAGGGGAAATTCAGTTTGCGCATGTTTTTTGTATGCGCCGTTTTACACGCCGATTAAATTGTCTGTGCATAAACAATTTATTTTCATTTTGTGAAGAGAATCGATAGTTTTTTACATTGACAATTTTTTGTCTTTGCCACCAATCTTATTAATGCAAAAATAATGACCTTCACAGAACGAAAAAATTGTGATAATTCTACCGACGTATAAATGACGTGTATAGAAAGGGTGGACTAAGACTATCCTCAATGGGGAGAGGTGAATTCCCAAATGTAAGGGCCTGTTTACTAACTAAGATATTTTCCTGTTTTCTACTTCTGTTTTTCGTTCTCCAATTTTCTGTTTTTATTTTTCATTTTTTCTATCTCCAATTTTCTGTTTCTATTTTTTAGTTTTCCATTTTCAAATCTGAAAACATGTTCATCAATTTTTTTACCCAGATCTCCAATTCCACACCATTGACCCCTACCCTTACCACGATCTTGCACTCTACCCATACTCCCCCACAACCCTTCATACCCACCCATACCTACTCGTAGCGGTCGGGGTAGGTAAGTTATGGGTGGGGGTGGGGTAAGGGGTATGGTCGAGGTGGGGTGGTAAGGTCTAGGGGTAGGGGGTTGGGTGGGGGTAGTGGGTGGATTAGGGTCGTGGTTAGGGGTAAGGGTGGGGTAGTGGGTAGGGTTTGGGGTAAGGTAGAGGTAGGGTATGGAGTTGGGATAGGATGGCGGTAGGGTGGGGCCGAGGTAGGGAAGGGGTGGGGGTAGGATGGCGGTAAGGGTGGGGGTAGTGGGTAGGGTTGGGGTAAGGTAGGGGTAGTGGGATAGGATGGCGGTAGGGTGGGCCCGGGATCTGGATGGGGCCGAGGTAGGGGAAGGGTAGGGTGGGGGGTAGGATGGTGGTTGGATGGCGGAAGTATGGGTGGACTTGAGCCGGTTCGGGCCCGGGTCGGGCCTCTGGTTTAGGAATGGGGGCCCGGAACAGTGTCGGGCCGGGCCGGGCCACCCGGCTCGAGTCCACCCCTAGGCAAAAGGGTGCTGGTAAGATGGTGGTACGAGGGTGGGGGTAGGATGGCGGTGGGGTGGGGCCGAGGTAGGCGCATGTGGTAAGGGGTAATATACGGGTGGGGGTAGGGTAGGGTGGGTCGGGGTGGGGTTGAGGTGGTAGGGGGTGGCGGTAGGGTAGATCGGGGTGGGGCCGAGGTATGGGCATGTGGTAGGGGGTGGGGTAGGGTCATTATAGGGAAAAATGGGTATGCGGGGTGGGGTTGGGTGGGTAAGGTAGGGTAGGGTAGGGGTAAGGGGTAAGGTACGAGGATGGAGGTACCAGAATGGAATCGACATCGGAGCGGGGCTGGACCCACCACTAGGTGTACGTATGCAAATTCATTGCAGCGGCACTGTAGCATCTGCGTTTTCCAAATTTGGAAAACTAATAAAAGTCACTTCTCCAAATCATTAAGGAAAAGAGAAACATGTCTCATTTTTTCCGTTTTGGAAAACGATTTGGTAAACGCGTTTTTATTTTTTCCTTTCTCCAGTTTTCCAGAAATTTCTTTGGTAAACACGTTTCCTGTTTTCTGTTTTCCAGTTTTCCAGTTTTCTGGAGAACTGGAAAATATCTCTGTTAGTAAACAGGCCCTAAGTTTTTCATCCAAAATGTGGTGCAACCCAAACTATTTTTTTTTTTTTTTTTTGTATTAGAGTGCCCTAGATTGGGTTGGGGGAGGTAAGACCCTTGTTCACTCAAAGAGAGAGGATTTGGCAGCCGGAGTTGATGCGCCACATAGCTTAAAGGTAGGACCCATTGAAACAAAAATCTCAATTTATTTTAAATTATCATAACTTTTTGTTTGTAATCAGATTTTTTTTAAAACTATATCAAAATTCATAATTTTTTTTGATATTTCATATGACACCAATTTTTCATATATAAAACTTAAAAAAAAATAATTTCAATTATTTGAAATTATCATGCACAACATTTTTCTTGAATTTATCCGAAAGTTAAAATTTAGATGCAATGTTTTTTTTGACATTTTTCTATAATTTTTTTATAAAATAGGTCTGAAGTTATAATAAAAAAATTAAACTCCAAATTTATTTGTTTTTGCATCGAAATGTTTTACTTTTGAAATAATAATTATTCATGAAAAAGAATTGGTAAAAGAATAATGTATAATAATAAAAGTAAGGATTTCATTGAAAAAAGTAGTTTTGAGTGAATATATTGACGGTGCAGGGTTGCAGAGAAAAATTGAATTGACTGAGTAAATACGTATAAACTGGAGGATATTAGATTTATTAACGGGTTGAGTTGCGGATTACAAAATTAAAGAGGCGGCATGTACCAGAATGCTACTGGTGTTCCATTCAAAGTGAAAAGTCTAGAACCTAGAGGTGGAACCGTGGAAGTGGAACTAGGGCTGTTAACGAACCGAATTTTTATCGAACTATTCGAGTTCGAGTTCAGTTTCGAACCTAACAACCCGAGCTTAACAAGCTTTCGAACTTGAACCCGAGCTGAGTTTTATGTTCGAAAAATTAATCGAGCCGAGCTCGAACATAGTAGTATTCAGCTCGGTTCGAACTCGAGCCTATCGAACACCCTAAAATTATAAATATAATTTGTATATATGTCAAAATTTAAATTTAATTAGTATGATTTAATGAATTTGAATAT